ACTTCGGTTGAAAATTTACCACTGCAATAAACTTGTTTTTTGCTTACTAAGTATCACGATTACGTTTAGTAAATTGTTTGGTTTGTCTTATTCGCAGCATAAAAATATCCATCTGTTCAATTCCCTTTTTTCAGATAAGTAGGACAGAAGCATATTAAGATTATTCATATTCCTGGTCCTCTGTTGATCAAACAGACTGCAGGAATATACTGGATATGTTCATACTTTGGAGGATCATTTCTTGTTCTTGTACATAACAGGCTTTCCCATTTATTAATCTACATCGTTGCATTAATATTAAGTACAATTTTAATATTTCAACTACTTGCTTAATGCGCTTAAACAACAATTCTTGTTTATTTATCGAATAGACCACGGTAGTACTTGCTGCGAAAAGAAATTAACATTGCTGCGAATAATATAGGAGATTGCTTTTGCGATTCTCAGTTTTAACCTTGAACGGAAACAAGGTTCTAGGAAACAACAAAGGTTCCGACATTTATTACTGTAGGAAATCGAGCCCAGGGCCACTGTGTGATACTCAAGAGTCAAAAGTGGTTTTTGACCTTCACGTGGTATGTCAACAGCTCTGACAAAAGTGAGGTTACGAGGATCTGGTGAACTAATTAAGATGTCAGTGGCATTTCTGACTCAGTCAATCCTGATTTAGATGATAGGAAATCATTGCATCTGTGCATTTCTCACGGCCATAAGAAAAGCGACATATTCAAAAGATTTGATCGACTCGTCATACCTGATCAATTATAATGATTCTAAATATTTTTTTTGCTGATCTTATTGTCCGAGCTTCATTTTCAAAATACACTCGCTTTAACAATATGAATGATTTTTTAGTCTCAGGATTACCATAGCTATGCTTGGATACTGTCGCTTGTGCGCGAAAAGTTAATCGGTACACTAACAGTGTAAGGCATATCCTCCGTCTTAGGCATTTCTGATATGTGATCCAGTGACTAAGTCTCTACCATTTTTCAACTCAAAATACGCGAGGCTGGGATTGGGGACAACAGAATGAAACTAATGAGCCAAATTTGTCATATAAATGGCCACATCTTGTCTTTTCCTGCTTCAGCTCCAGGATTAGCTTACTTCATTCTCCAATTTTCTGATGACTATATCAAGTCGTCAATTTTTTACTCTATTCTTTAAGTATACTCTTTGATTGAGCAAAATAGGTAAATTCCGTGTATATATGTTTTAAACGACTATATCATAATCAAAAGTTTTGTTG